CCTCTAGTGTTTAGACATGGAACTGCATCCAGCATCGCTGGATGCAGTTCCATGTCTAAACACTAGAGGCGCTATAGAGCCTCTATTATCTAAACAATAGAGGCACTATAGAGCCTCTATTGTCTAAACAATAGAAGCACTTAATTATTCTTGAAATAAGGAAAATGTCCAGGGTAACAAGGCTAAACAATCTTACATTCTGCTCTTATTATAATTAAAACAAGATGAACCAACATTTTGACTGGGTATAAGTTAAAAAGACTTGGCTAGATGGGGATCATTTTAGTGTTTTCTTTCTTTCAGTTCTACACTTTCATTATTTTAATAACAAAGTCAAAGATACTCATTGCAAACTGTAATATTAAACAGAAAAGTTTATCCTGAGCTTTGTGAACTGGTGCAGAATGAAAACGTTTACTTCAGTATTTTTCCTGACTTGTTGGTATTCTGATGTGCAGGTCCACGCTCAACGTAAACAGAACCAGGTGGAAGCCCGAGTCACCTGACTGACCTGACTGTTGGTCAGTAAACATGATGGAATCAAAGAAACGTAGAAACTTAAAGACGTTCAGGTGGAAATGTGCTAAAGAAAGAGAAGGATGGAGTAAATCTGCTGTGAAGAATAATCTCTAGGAGTTCCACAATGACACAACTCAAAACCTGTCCTCTTCAGTGTTTTTAAACTCCAGACCAGTGGTCCTCAGTCCTGGTCCTGGTCCTGGTCCTGGTCCTGGTCTGTTTTAGATGTTCCTCTGCTTCAACACACCTGATTGGAACTAATGGGTGTTTAACAGAACATGAAGACCTGCTGAGGAGCAGGGAAACTACTAAAACCTGCAGGATGGTGGACCTCCAGGACTACTGGTCTGGACCAACGTTTAAAACCTTCATGAAGTCTGACACACTTCAATCAACAAATCAGATCATAGATACAGATGAATCAGAACCTCTCAACCCCAAACAGCTCCACTGCTGACCTTCAGTCAGAGCAGACAGGTTGTTACAGCAAGAGAAAACTACTTCAGGAGGCAACATATTCAACAACATGGTCTGACAACACGACTGCAGACAGAACAAAACGACACAATGTGTCAACACAAGGTATAAGAACATGGACAAAGGCTCAGCGACATATTTTTGGCACAAATTGAACTCCATATTGGAAAGCATCAGTTTGAGGAATAATCGATTTTTTTACCGTTGCAATGAGTACCTTTGAGTTGAAACCGTTTGCAGCTGTGATGCTGACAGATACAAAGAAAACCATTCAGAGGGGTTTGAAAGAGAGGCATCAGTGGTTAGAGCTGTTGCCTCACAGCAAGAAGGTCGCAGGTTCGCCTCCCAGCTCTCCTGAGGAACTTCCACGTTCTCCCTGTGCGCCGGTGTGTTTTCTCTGGGGACTAAGAACATGCAGGTTGGGTTGATTGGTGACTCTAAAGGATGCTGAGGTGAGAGTGAGAGTGTGTCTCTCACACAGGGACACCTGGAGTCTACCTCCAGGTGTCTCTCACACAGGGACACCTGGAGTCTACCTCCAGGTGTCNCTCTCACACAGGGACACCTGGAGTCTACCTCCAGGTGTCCCTGTGTGAGAGCGTGTCCCTCACACAGGGACACCTGGAGTCTACCTCCAGGTGTCCCTCACACAGGGACACCTGGAGGTAGACTCCAGCTGAAAGATGAAGCAGGTAAATAAAAAGATGGATGATGAGGAACAACATGAGAAGAACTCTTTATGAGTGGAAAAATCATTTATAATCTTTTTGTTGAAAATATCTTGATTCCTGACAGATAAATGAACATATTTTATGCTTTTAATAATGTTTTAAATCAACATTATATATTTCACACCAAAACCATTCCTCTCACGCTCTTTGCTGTTTTGTGTTACTAATACGTCACTCTGCTTGATGCACAGAAACACTTCTGAAGAGTTTTTATGTAAAATGTTCACCTTCCTTTTTATTACTGAACCAACATGTCTGCACAAACTTTACTCCATGCAGTATTTCAATGCTTTTAGTCTCTTTTTGCCTAACAGAACATGTTGTTTAGAGTAAAACATTAAGTTGTTTCATTAATCATGTAGTTTGTGAGATTTGACTTCACTAAAAGCTTTAGTGGTTTGTTTAAAGATGTGATCCACCTGGTTCTGACCCAGTCCACCTGTTGTCAGTGTGTCCTGTCTCACACTGAACCCTGGTGTCCAGAAAACCCACTACAACAGTTCGTCCTCTAACAGGGCAGACAACTTTAAACTGGTCTGAAGCCAGCAGGGTTACACTTTTACAACCAAAACAATTATTAAAACAATGTTTTCATGAGCTGTTTAGGAGGTTTACCAGATAAAACTTCAGTCTGCAAGATTAGTTTTCATTTTTGCTTTTTTCATTATGTTTTATTATATTCTCCCTATCAGAACCTGCTGCTGTTCATACCTGCAGTTGTTCTTCATTCATTCATGTTCAATATTGTGTTTTTGCAGTGCATCAAAAAAAAGACACATTCAGTTTTTATAAGGATTAAACAAACAAACCTGTGGTGGAGAGGCCTTTAGTGGGTTTTATCCAAGTCAGATCTAAAGTTTTTGTCTGTTTTCACTTGTACTGCTTAACCACTAATGATTAAATGAATAAACACAATCTGTTTCACACTTTTTGTGTCGTGTCCAGTCTGTCTGCATGAAATAAATTATATTTGTTTTATCTTTATGATCATAGTCTTATATTTCATGTCAACAGAAAACCTTATTTGTGTTTTATCATATCTACAGAAGATAAACAGAAATCCAAAATGTAACATTGTGGTCATTTTGAACTTATAAGCACAGTTGGGTAATAATACTTACATTTACTTCAGTAACTTGTTGGTAAAATATGTACTTTTAGGAGTACTTTTACTATGCTGTAAATTTTACTTTTACTTGAGTACTTTTATTACGAAGTATCGTTACTCTTACTTGAGTAAAATTTTGGGGTACTCTACCCACTGTGAGTAACTTGTTGGTTGTTTTTATCAAAAATTCACCTAACACAGAGACACACCTGCAGCTTTGTTATTTTCATGCTGTTTATTTTGAAAGAAACTGATTTGGAAAGATGTTTCTTCTGCCTGAATTAGTTATTGTTATTTATATGAATTATTTTCATTTTGATCTTCAAAATACCAAAATTTCCACAAAGCTTTATATTTTGGTCCATCTGATGATGTCATTTTTAAATATTTAATGATGTCTTGATCTGTTACTCAGTACTTGAGTAGCCTTTTTACCAAATACTTTTTTAATTTTACTTGAATCACTTCTTGGATGGCTACTTTTTACTTTTACTTGAGTAAAAATATGTTGAAGTAGTGCTGCTTTTACTTGAGTACAATTTTTGTGTACTCTACCCACCTGAGCTTATTAGAATATTCACATTTTACTGTTGAATCTAAAGCTGTCTTCTGTTCAGCTGCACAGACAGTAAAACTGTGAAAACTTTACCAATGTTCTAAAATTAGACCAAAACACGTTAATATTATAAAGACATGCTGTTAATGATCATCACCTTCAGCTGTGCTACAGTACAATATAGAAACAAGTTTTGAACACCTAAAAGCTTGCAGTACATTATTTTATCACAGCTCATTTTAATGTGATGTTACTTGATGAAAACGACTCATTTCCCAGATAAAGTGGGAGTTAATGGGAAGTTTCCCAGATAAAGTGGGAGTTAATGGGAGATTTCCCAGATAAAGTGGGAGTTACTGGGAGATTTCCCAGATAAAGTGGGAGTTGATGGGAGAAATGAGCTGCCTGAGCTGTAGTTTTAAACTGAGCTATCAGTCACACAACCCAACCTGATACTGCAGGAAAAACAGAATTTTATTTTCTGTTCTGATGGATTGAAATGAAAATATTCCTCCGACATCATGTGGGAACTTTTCTGTCAAGTTGGAGGCCAGAATGTGCTCCATGACAGAAACAAGCCCTACAGTAAAAACCCTGTTGATAAAACATTTATTTTACTGTAAAACAACAACAGTTCACAGCTTGAGCCGGGTTATTTCTGTTCTCATTTCCTGTTGTTTTTGTAAGAAAAACATTTTCTTTTCCAGTTTGAACAGAGGAGCATCACTTTCTCATTTGTGTTTTAAATTGTCTGTTTGGTTCAGGTGACTGCGCTGTGATTGGCTCTTCTGTCAGGAAGCTCGCAGGTTCAGAACTGAGCCGAGGTCTTTGTGGAGTCTCCTTCTCCTCGTGCACATGTGGGTTTTTTCTAAGTACATCCACTACTCACATAACTGAGTGTTGGTGGTTTTGGTGGTAAAGTGATTTGATAACGAGTTTGAGGCTATAAATTAGGGATAAAAAGGAAATATGCTTTAAGCCAGTGAAGTTTATTTGGAAAACATATTTCAGCAACAAAGCAGTTCAGTGCTTTACATCATAAAAACACAACACAGCCACCAGTTGTGAAACAAACAATAAACATTACATTTTGTCAAATGTCATCATAAAAATCATCAAGCAAACACACAAATATGTAGATCAATGTTCCACTTGGTACTACGAATAAAACACAACTCAGGTGGTTTTAGCCTCAGTTAAAGAAACTCTGTTTCAGATATTTTGCAGATTTCTGGGAGTTTGTTGCAGATTTGTGGTGCAAACTGAAAGCTGCCTCTCCTTGGTTCTGCTGGGGTGTAGAGTGGACTGAAAGGTTGATACAACAGATCTTAAATGTATTTTCATGCTGAGCCATTCACAGTGGCGCCTGCACATTTTTTTTCAGGGGGGGGGCATGGGGGGGGGCACTGAAAAACCAGGGGTGGCCCACCAAAACTAATATCTATAACAGAAAATTTATGATGTGTTTGTAAAAATAACAAATTGAAAACTATGGAAAAATAAAGCTATGTATTTATCAACAGATGTTCAAATTGTAATTTCACAGATAAAATCACTGATTTTATGACATTCAGAGACAAAAAACAAGAGTAAGTATTTGTAATGTTGGGGGGACCCACTGGTGGGGGGTCTGGGGGTCCTCCCACAGAACATTTTTAAAGAAGTAAATGTCATTTCCTGCAGTCTGGTGTATTTTAACAGGTTGTTAAACAGATTTTTACCTACATAGGAAAACACTTAATGTGAGTATTTTATAGGTAAAATGAAATAAATTTATTTGTTAAACAAGAGAAACACTGGATGAACTAATGTTTTATGGTAAATGTGGGGGTTTAAATTAATTACATTTTTAATTGGATGGGGACAGTTCCCTTCAAAAATGATTATTTTATTTAAAAATGTCAAAATACATATTTTAAAGACATTTATAAGGAACAAGCTTTTAAAATTTAAAGACATCACCTCTTCTATTTATGTTAAAATGTTTATTTACTTGTTTATTTTTGTGAAGAAAACCTGTGATTATAAAACCTCAAAACTGGAAATAAAGACTAAAGCAAGCACAATTACAAAC